GCGGGGCTCGAACTCACGGACCGCGAGATCGTGACCTGGCTGAAGTCGGACGCTTAACCGACTGCGCCACCCAGGCGCCCCTACCTCCATATTTCTAAAGTTTGTTCTTATCACCATTTCTGTATCAGTTTTAGATCTTATTTATTGACTCCTGTCCATGGTAGAAGAGGATACAGTTCTCACATAGTATCAAAGGGCTCATATTTTCTAACCAAAAGGACCTACCAAGTACTCTGTATAATAAATGGGAAAAAAAGAAGAAAATTAAAAAACCGGGATGACTAAATTTCAGAACACTCTAAAAACTTCTAGAAAGATATGAGACAGGTCCAACATATGTAAAGAATCAGAATCATACGGCATCAAAATTTATGTTGTTACAAGTATATCAAAGAACTCTGTCAAGAAAGTGAAAATCCCCTACAGAATGGGTGAAAATGTTTGTGAACCATAGATCTGATAAGGTCTAGTGTTCAGAATATACAAAGAACTATTACAATTCAAGAACAAAAAGACAACTCAATTAAAAAATGAGCAAAGGACTTGAATAGACATTTCGCCAAAGAAGGGATACAAATAATACAAATTAATACAAATCAAATGCAACAAAAAAATACAAATCAAAATCACAATGAGATACTACTTCACACCATCTATGACAACTGTAATAAACAAAACAAAACAAAACAAAATAACAAATGTTAGAAAGGATATAGAGAAATTGGAAGTCCCATACCTTTGCTGGTAGGAATGAAAAATGGTACAGCCACTGGGGAAAGCAGTTTGTCAGTTACTCAGAAAATTAAGCATAGAGTTACACGTGACTCAACAGTCCCACACCTGGGTATTTCCCCAAAAGCAAGGAAAACATAGGTCCACATACAGACTTGTATGCAAGTGTTCACAGTAGCATCTTCATAGTAGCCAAAAAGTAGAGACAACCCAAATGTGAGTCAGCTGATGAAAAACAAAATGATATGGTGTGCCTGTGCTATGGAATGTTATTCAGCCACGAAAGGAAATGAAACACTGACAAATGCTATACCACCGATGACCCTCGAAAGTGTTACACTGAGTGCAAAGCCAGACACAAAAGGCCACCTGTTGTAGGATTCCACTGATGTGAAATATCTAGAATATGTAAATCTATAGAGACAAAGCATATCCGTAGTTGTCAGGACCTGGGGGTAGATGGGGATGGAGAGGGGCTGTTTAACGGGCTGCTTTTTGGGGTGATGAAAACGTTCTCCAATTAGATAGTGGTGATAGTTGTACAACATTGTGGACAGAATAAAAACCACTGAAGGCACTTTTAAGCGGTTAAAACTGCATTTTATTTCGATAAAAAATATTTTTAAAATGTAGTTATGTAAAAACAATTTGAGTTAAATGAAGCCAGAATTTATCTTGACCGTGAAAAATTGTTCTATGGGCTACACCAAATAACATACTCTTTGTTTTCTTTCTGATACATTTTCCCCCCAGAATGGCCTTTTCTCAGTTGCTTCGTTTTCTGTGAACCTTTATTGTCATTTTTAACGTGTTCAAAATCTGTCACATATCTATCGCACAGTATTTTCTCAGTGCTCAGTATAGCTTATCTGTCTGGTTTTGGGGGTTTTGTTTTGTTTTGTTTGCCTTTTCTTGGAGTCTTTCTTCTCAAAGCTTTTGTCCTCCCATCTGAACTGAATACCCCCTGGACTTTCTCTAAGGTGTCACCCAGGGCACACTTGCCCTTCCCCGCCTGGGTCCCTGTCTCCCAGATTCCACGTTTCCCCTCTTCCTTGCACTACTCCCTTATTTTGCTGGAGCACATTCTGCAGCCAATTCCTCAGAAAGAATGTATGAGAGAGAAATTTTAGAGTCTCCGCGTTTCTAAAAAATATTTTTCCCGTCTTTAAATGTAATTGCTGAATTGGCCAGCTTCTAATTCTGGATTGGAAATAATTTTCCTCAGAACCTTGAGGGCATTGACTCCGCCTTACAGTTTCCAGTGCTGCAGAGCTGGTGCCTCTGTGATACCTGATTCTTTTATGTGGAATCTTTGGAACCGTTTTGTTTTCCTTTCTGGAAGCTCTTACAAAATTCAGTCCTTTCATTGATCTCTTTTCCCCTCACTTAATGTGCTTAACACCGGTAGGTCCTTGCAGTTAGAAGATGTGACCCCTTCAGTTCTAGTAAATTTCTTGTGCTAGTTCTTTAGAAATTCTTCTCCACTTTTCTGTTTTTCTATAACTCCTGACTTAATCCTATAATTGGCTAATTTTTTCCCTCCTATTTCCCATTTGTTTGTACGGTTCTTTTGTAAGAGTTCCTTAACTCGTTATTCCAATTTCCTAAGTTTTTATTTTGACAATCCAATTTTTAATGTCCAAGATTGTTCCTTTTTAGAACATTCCATTCTTTTTACGTGGATTCACTATCTTCTCTTAAATCTGAGAATCTTATTTTAAAAGTTTTGTTCTCGGGGCGCCTGGGTGGCGCAGTCGGTTAAGCGTCCGACTTCAGCCAGGTCACGATCTCGCGGTCCGTGAGTTCGAGCCCCGCGTCGGGCTCTGGGCTGATGGCTCGGAGCCTGGAGCCTGTTTCCGATTCTCTGTCTCCCTCTCTCTCTGCCCCTCCCCCGTTCATGCTCTGTCTCCCTCTGTCCCAAAAATAAATAAACATTGAAAAAAAAAAATTAAAAAAAATTAAAAAAAATAAAAGTTTTGTTCTCTATTATGTCTTTCTCTGGAACATAAAGAGAGTGATAACATGTATGAAAATTTCCCAATGAACTTTGAAAAGCTTCGTTTTATACTCAGGATTCAGCACAATTAACTTTGTTTGTTTGTTTATTTGTTTTGTTTTGTTTTGTTTTCACTCAAAAAAAAATAAGAAAAAGAAAAACAGGGATACCTGGCTGGCTCAGTCAGCAGAGCGTGAAACTCTTGATCTCAAAAGTCATGAGGTTGAGCTCCACGTTGGGGATAGAGATAACTAAAAAAAGAGAGAGAGAGAGAGAGGAAGAAAGAATGTACTCTTTCATATCAAATACAAAGAGGCTAGATACAAATAGAAAAAGTTACCCACGTAAGGTCACAAATAATTTATTCATGAATGATTGAGGTTTTTTTTTTACACAGATTAATGTGTTTTCAGTTAAAATCGAGGTGTCAGTATAATATGTACAATTCAAGCATAATTGTATCTGAATTATTTTCTAGATTTTGATGATTTGATGGCATGTAAGATCTGTGCTCTGGAAGCACTTCTGTGTAGATTGTCAGGTCAGGAAAAGCTATTGATAAATTTTCCATCTGTTTAATACTCAATTTTCTTCTTAGTCACTCTGTGAGAGTATCAAAAAATACGTTTAAACAAATAAATCCATATGTCAAAACCGATTTAAAAACCAGTAACACTTTTCTTTCTTTATAGATCTTAACTGATGTAAGAAATCTCAAATTTCCACCACTGTTTACTCAGAAATATCCTCGTGAGGTTTGTATAATTCTAATCTTTTATTTTCTTGTGAATCAAATTCAGAACTTAAAGGGTCTTGAGCCATTAATTCATCAGTTTCCCATTTTACAGATGAGGAAGCCAGAGGTCTAGAGAAGAAAGGGACCTGATCCCAAGCGTACACAACTTGTTAAAATCACAGACTGAACTTGGGTCTGGGGTCCTTGGTGGGGCCCTCAGCCCCGTGTTCTGTGTTCCCTGCTGGGTGATGTCCTATGTGTGCATCCTGTGTGTCCTTTGGCTTGAGTAAGGCTGAACTCCTAGCGCACTCACGGGCATAGAGCTGCTCCTGGGACCGTGCCATTAATCTCTTTATTTCAGTGAATTTGGGAGGGACCTTAAAAACTGGCTGATTTCTTTAAAAAGCAGGGCAGC